ATTTTCAAGGTCCTGCGCATGAAGCTTGCGGTTGCGTCTGCGGGGCTAAGACTTCGAATTCAAAGTCATGTACTGTGTTGCCCTTGTCGTCGACTGCACTTTTCCCTCTCTTTCTGTTGCCTGCATTGTAGTACTGCGTTGCCACATCTGCCACATGTGTATCGCGGTCGAGCTTGAAAATGCAGAAACTCATAACTGTGTCTCGGTTCCCGGCTGTATTGACTATGTCGTTCTTAATAGCGGTCATTTTCAGCAACTGATCCGACGCCTTGCTTGACTTCTTTGTCTGTTCTATTTCTGTGCGAATCACGACTTCGGTAAACGCTAGTTGCTGCAAGGTTACGCCAAGCTTTCCGTCATCCCTTCTTATTTGAAAGACTTTTGTGAGTGCCCTCTTAAAATGTTCTGCTCCCCATGGCTCGTCGCCCTTCCTTCTCCATATCTTGTCTTTATTCATTTGACTACGAATATCGTTTCGCGCGGTGTTATTATAATCCGACTGCGTGCCACGTACGAGCGAGAGACCTCTCTCTGCCCAAAACCAGTGTCTCAAGTGCCAAGTCAACTCTCCACGGACCGTTGTCATCATTCGGTTGCACTCTATAAGCGCACACCGCACATCATTGTCCTCTACATACTTCCCGAATCCTACCCTCACATCTTCTCCTAAAAGGTTAGCAGCCAACTGCAACGTATTGAAGAAGTCGTCCTCTGAAGGGTAGAACGTTGCGTCCCTCGCTGTCGAGTGCACAAAAGTTTTAGCAACAGACCTCAACAGTCTGTCTTTTTTCCTTTTTCCGAATAAGTCGCATTCATCTCGCATGCCACCCGCCCAATGCTTTACTTTTTTCGCCTCCTTTTGGCAATTTCTCCCTCCTTGTAAAATCTGGCGGTCTGCAACAACGCGTATAACAACCAGAAGTTGGAAGTTGGTATCCGCCACTCACATGCATTCGTTTGGCAGGAGAAACAACCACAACCCCACAAACATATTCAAGACTGTCTCAGATTTCGTTATCGAAAAACTAGTTAGCATTTCGCTATCATTTTGCACTACCGGCAGGTGATAACAACAATTGATGCAAAACAACATGTTAACTGATTCTTTCCAACCGAGGTTTTGATTTTTCTCATACATTGATTACTTACGTCCTTCAATTGCCTTCTTCTTCAGAACCAACAGTTTGTCGGCGTTGCTTTCCTCTCTGCCTTTATCACTTGTTCCTCCTTGCGTTTTTCGATACGTCTTTTTTCTATTGTCCTTGGTACGTCTTTCTTCCCTCCTACTGCTTTGGGATGGTTCTTCGTCATCATCATCATCGTCATCTCCATCCTGTGTGTTGTTATACCCATTGTGACTGTCCTCCTCTTCGTTGCTCTCATCTTCTCCATACGATTGTTTTTCGTTCAATCTGTCCGTATTACCTGCTTCACCATCCTCTGTCTCATCATATTCTTCACATTCGGTCATGTGCTCCTTAACTGCTGTGTCCCGTGACAGATCTCCTTTTTCGTCCTCAGCAGCCTCGACACCTTCGGATCCCCTCAGATCGATTGTCACATTCTCTTCCCATTCTTTCTCAATGGTTCTCCTCCTCTTCGCATGTCCAATGTTCTTCCGAGGTTGTCCTTTGCTCCCTTGTCCGCATGACCTTTTCTTTGGCGCATGTGGCGGAGAATCCTCCTGTCGCATGCGATCCTTTGTGAATGCGGGAGAGATGGGGGCCAAATCTTGCAGGTCATGACATTTTGCATCAGACCTGTTTGTTTGCGGTGGCACCGGAACCACTGCACGGTCCGCGCGTGGCTTAATCAATGGTGATGTCTTGCTTCTTTCATTTGCGTTTTTCTGACATTTCACTTTCTTTTTCCTCACCACAGTGCTTTGGCTCATCCGCGCAGGAGGGTGTCTTTCCTCTCGGTGCTTCAGGGACGATAAAATATCTTCATACCTTCGGCGGGGTGTTATTGCAAAGCTACATGACATATACAATATTTCAGTTACAAGTCAATGACTCAAAAGATTTATAATGTATACAGAACGTTTAAATGTGATTGTTCCCAAACATTTGTGTGTGTGTGTGTGTGTG